GTGTGTGTGTCTCTGTGTGTGTCTCTCTGTGTGTGTATTTACTTCTCATCTGCAAACAAGATAAGTCAAAAGCTAACGTCATCAAAAACCAGGTCGGTGCGTAAAGTGCCGGTGAGTTTGTCAGATAACTCATGGCGAGCTAAGTGCTGTAGCCGTGATTGCGTTGTGCTGAATGGAGGATGTACACATGTGCTCCCACCGCCAAACAATCAAAGATCAATAATTGTGAAGGCATTGCAAGAGTGCACAATCATTACCTATGAACCCTATTGTGTCTCCGGGCTTAATCAGTGGCGCTAGCTTGACAGAGAGCGAGTGTAGCCCTGATGAGGCGAGCTAGCCAGGGCGGCACGCAGCCCTCTCCCTCTCTCTCTCTCTCTCCCAAACCCCCGGTGGGGAGAGAGCGAGGCTTGGCCCAGCTCGGCTCATATTACCGTGTTGGCTTGGATCTCTTTCTCTGGGCCCCGTGTCTCATATAGGCCCCCCTGGTTCCCTGAGGGCCCACAACACTGTAACACGGCACTGTACAGGCTCCTGTCGTGTCTTCGCTCCACATCCCCAAAGAATATTAAATGTCAAGCGCCAGATTACCATGTGCCTTTCAACAACAAAAAAAGAGGTGAAAAAATGGTCCTTACCCAGAATGCAGCGGGGGCAACAAGGCTGGGCCAGTTCAATTATTGATTACTATGCTCAGGATTCAGTGGTGCTGGATAATTGTAATTGGCAAAGGCTTCTGGCCAGAGAGAATCTGTGCAACTGTTCACTTCCTGTTTGTCTTTGATTTGCCGTCGACAAAACGGAAAAACTGACGACAATTAATGACTAAAGGCAAGACGCTCGAAGGAATATGTTTTTCTCTTTAATTTGTGTTTTTTAATTTGTTTTTGAAAGATTAGATTTTTTAACACCTTTCATGTCCATTTGTCTCCAATGCACTGAATATTTATAATATGTATATAATATGTATACTTTAATATGTATACTTTAATATGTATACTTTAATATGTATACTTTAATGTGTATACTTTAATATGTATACTTTAATGTGTATACTTTAATATGTATACTTTAATATGTATACTTTAATATGTGTACTTTAATATGTATACTTTAATATGTATACTGTATGTACTCTATGGTAAAGCTATGGATCCAATATTTATTGTCCTTAGTAACCAGCCCGGACTCTGAGGAGCACAGGGACTGGACTCCTGTTAGTGCCCAGAGTCAGAACTAAACATGGGGAGGCTGCTTTTCGGATTCATGCTGCTAAAATCTGGAACAGTCTTCCTGAAGATGTGAGACAGGCCTCCTCTCTGACAATGTTTAAAACCAGGTTAAAGACGGTTCTGTTTAGCTGTGCATACAACTGAGGGATTTTATATTTTTATCTTTTTTTTTTTAATGTACTGTGATTATTTATGATTTTAATGCTTTCTTGTTCTGTTCAGCACTTTGAGTTGCCTTGTGTATGAATTGTGCTATACAAATAAACTTGCCTTGCCTTGCCTTAGAAATGAATTATAATAATACTACAACTACTACTACTACTCCTACTACTACTGCTTCTACTACTACTACTATACTGCTGCTACTGCTACCACTACACTGCTACAACTGCAAGTACTTCTGCTACTACTCCTACTACTACTACTCCTACTACTACTACTTCTACTACTACTACTACTCCTACTACTACTGCTTCTACTACTACTACTACTATTGTTACTACTACTATTATCATTAGTATTAGTTGTAGTAGAAGATATATTAATTCTAATTATGCTACTAATAATGATACCAGCAGCAAAATATTAGATTTTTTTCAAATGATAAATCTGTGCAACGCCAAAACCAATCAAGTAGAATGCCATTAATCTATTTTTCTTCCGCTTTATCCGTTACCGAATCCCAGAGGCAGCAGTCTAAGAACCTCCACACACTTCCACCATCAGTTATAATGATCTATATGAGATTAACCACAGTATTTATGTTGTTATTGTTAGCTACATGCTGCTATATGCTAATTCCACAGACAGAGGCTGTTCTACAGTCTACAGCTGGGGGGTTCTACAGCCCCAGGGGTCGAAAGGGGCCCCACTTGTTTCTTTACCATCGCGCCTACAGCTACAACGGCCCAAAATAAATCAACAATAGCCAACAACAGCCTCGGTCTCGGATCTACAGCCTCAGTCCTGGATCTACAGCCTCAGTCCTGGATCCACAGCCTCAGTCCTGGATCTACAGCCTCAGTCCTGGATCTACAGCCTCAGTCCTGGGTCTACAGCCTCAGCCCTGGATCTACAGCCTCAGTCCTGGATCCACAGCCTCAGTCCTGGATCTACAGCCTCAGTCCTGGATCTACAGCCTGAGTCCTGGATCTACAGCCTCAGTCCTGGATCTACAGCCTCAGTCCTGGATCTACAGCCTCAGTCCTGGGTCTACAGCCTCAGTCTTGGATCTACAGCCTCGGCCCTGGATCTACAGCCTCAGTCCTGGTCTACAGCCTCAGTCCTGGATCTACAGCCTCAGTCCTGGATCTACAGCCTCAGTCCTGGATCTACAGCCTCAGTCCTGGATCTACAGCCTCAGTCTCGGATCTACAGCCTCGGCCCTGGATCTACAGCCTCAGTCCTGGATCTACAGCCTGAGTCCTGGATCTACAGCCTGAGTCCTGGATCTACAGCCTCAGTCCTGGGTCTACAGCCTCAGTCCTAGATCTACAGCCTCAGTCCTGGGTCTACACTCTCAGTCTTGGATCTACAGCCTCAGTCCTAGATCTACAGCCTCAGTCCTGGATCTACAGCCTCAGTCCTAGATCTACAGCCTCAGTCTTGGATCTACAGCCTCAGTCCTAGATCTACAGCCTCAGTCCTGGGTCTACAGCCTCAGTCCTGGATCTACAGCCTCAGTCTTGGATCTACAGCCTCAGTCCTGGATCTACAGCCTCAGTCCTGGATCTACAGCCTCAGTCTTTGATTTCTTTACTTCTGTTGTGATTTAGAGCTTCATAAAAATACATTGAAGTGAAATTTTGTCGAATTTATAATCCTGAAAAAGTAGAAACGAACCAAAAGTACCGACGTCTTGTAACTCTACACCGCTCAGATCTGCAGCAGTGAAGGCGTAGATCTACTTTCCTCCACTAATTATTTATAAGCTTTTCCCAAGGATTTCAAGCACCCACGGGAAACCTCTTGTTGACAAATCAGCCCTGTTGCCAATGCCTCATTTTGATGCAAACATTTCAATCTCGGACTAAAAAACCTTTCTCAAACTCCTCTTTCCTGATTAACATTTCTCCAAACTGTGATCTCTGCAAAAACGATAAAAAACGAGGCACTTATAGCAATTATCGAGTGATTTTTAGCTTAATTTGAGAACATCCTGACTGTCTTAACGATATCTGCCAACGGGACAAAGCTATTTACTCTTATTAACAGAATTTTTGCGTTATTTTCTTATTCCAAGTGATGAATAATAAGTCAAAAATTGCTCAAATTTGGCAAAATGTATCTTAATTTGAGCACATTCTCACTGAGGCTTAAAACAAGATTTGCCAACAGGGACAAAGCAAAAGGATCTTATTCTAAAATGAAATGAGAAAATAAAGCAACAGTTATTGAGATATGACAAAATGGCTTTGTCCCATTGGAGAATTTTCATTGAACGCAGTCGGAATTAACACAAATTTAGACAAAAAACACTAAATTCATGCAATTATTACCTCAATTATTGCCTCATATTCATGCAATTATTACCGCCATAAGATTTAGTTTTAAGGCCGTCAAAACACGCCCAAATGACATCTACATTTTGCAGAATATTAATGTACATTTAGCCACATTTTTGCTGAATTTTTAGCCAAATATTAGCAATTTTTGACTGGATTCTTCTTCACTTTTTGCAGTGTGATCGGCCAAGTGACGACGCTGACAAAAGAGGTCTGGCTCCAGCTCAAATCATTTACATTGTCTCTCTCTCTCTCTCTCTCTCTCTCTCTGTCTCTCTCTCTCTGTCTCTCTCTCTCTTTGCCTCCACTCTGGATATAAATCACGGCTCACATTAATCAATCCCTCCAGAATGGCATATCTGCGCAAATTATTTCGCGGACTCCGAAGCGATTAAATTGCCAAAGCCGCCGCTCGGGCTGATCTTCATGGTTCATTTAAGAAGAGGGCAAATGTCTGTGGCTTTTTTTATTGTGAGCTACTGTACCAATCAATAGGATCTGTTTGGGAGCTAGGTAAACAAAGGAAGCGCACATATGGCCTCTCTTTTCCGCGGGGGCCAGAGCAGACCTCCGCAAAATACAGTTAAATGGGAATTGTCCAAGCTGTTTAGGGACGGACAAAGCGACGGAGGCCGTGGGTTGTATTTGGGTAAATGCAGAAGAAGTGGTTAAGTCGCCGGAATAGCAATAGCAGCGAATGGCAGAGTAGCATCGGAAGCAGCGGAGTCAAAGTAGAAGCACAGTGGACAAAGAAAAAGAGTCAGATTTGGACCATTCCAGACTTGGACCACCTCCACAGCTGTGCGTTTCCACCAGAACAAAACACTATTATTACATGCATTACTATCTATCTCTCTGTTATTCCCATGTTATGCTAACGTACACATAGCTAAACACGTATCGCTCCTATTTTGTTAGTCCTACGGCATTTACAGCTATTTTAAAAGCCACTACTAATCTCTGTATATGTTCTGTGCTACTTGTGTGGTCTCGCTACTGCCCTGTAAGTGCGCTACAACCCAGGAATTTCCTCCATTGTGGAACGAATAGAGGCTCTCCCTTATCTCTATCAATTTGAGCATATGCACCTGTGTGTGGTATAGTAGAGTGTATAAGTATATAACTGCACACTCACGTTAATTTCTATAATCTATTCTGTATCTACAGTATTGAAAGCTAAAATCTGGAACAGTCTTCTTGAAAATGTGAGACAGGCTTCTATCCAAATCCAAGTTAAAATTACAGTTCTGTTTGGCAAGGATTTTATCTCCACTTTTCTTAATGTACTGTGAATATCTGTGTATATTTCACCTAGTTTCGTTTCGCACTTTGAGCTGCCTTCTGCATGAAGCGTGCTACACAAAAAACATTGCCTCGCCTCCCAAAGCTAATTATCTGCAGTCTCTCACTCCAGTCATCGCTGTTTTGCTTCTCTGGCTTCTCGGATACTGTACCCTTTAAAGCTGATCTTAGCGTTTCAGAAATAGCTAAAAGGACTTTGCTTCTTGGCTTTCTCTGCTGCTGCTGCTGCTGCTGCTGCTGCTGCTGCTGCTGCTGCTGCTGCTGCTGCTGCTGCTGCTGCTGCTGCTGTTAGACTAATGTCGACAGATTTAATACGGTTTTACATGCGTTTGTGCCAGGGCAATTTGAATTTTTACTGGCTGCTTGTTATTGCGTTTCTCATATTTGCGATGTTGGCTGCGTGCCTGTTTATGTGTGTGTGTGTGTGTGTGCATGTGTGCGACAGATTTTACACTAGTTAATGTGTGTGTAGCTGTAAAACATTGTGTAGTGTGTGTGTTATCAGCACGTGGTCAAAATAATGCAAAACCAAAGCAAGGCAAGAAGATTAGAACGACCTCGTTTGATTTTCTAATCTACTACATATGGATGAGAATGACTGTGGATTATTTTCAGCTGGTGCTGGACCATGTGACTGCTTGTATGAGTCAGAAAAGATTTCATCGATCCGACACTGGAGACATGTGCTTCTGGACTCTCAGTGAGAATCCACACAGTTAAATATCTATAGTGTAAATATCTATAATGTGAATATCTATAGTGTGAATATCTATAGTGTAAATGTATATAATGTAAATATCTATAGTGTGAATATCTATAGTGTGAATATCTATAGTGTAAATGTCTATAATGTAAATATCTATAGTGTAAATGTCTATAATGTAAATATCTATAGTGTAAATATCTATAATGTAAATATCTATAATGTAAATGTCTATAGTGTAAATATCTATAATGTAAATATCTATAGTGTAAATATCTATAATGTAAATATCTATAGTGTAAATATCTATAGTGTAAATATCTATAATGTAAATATATAGTGTAAATATCTATAATGTAAATATCTATATAAATATCTATAGTGTAAATATCTATAGTGTAAAATATCTATAATGTAAATATCTATAGTGTAAATATCTATAGTGTAAATGTCTATAGTGTAAATATCTATAGTGTGTACGTGTATATATTAGTACTAACATGTACAGGTGAATACAGTATATATTAAATTATAAAGCAGTATACATTACTTCCTTTTGCTAAAACTATAGATTTTATACATGCGTCTTTATTATGCTAAAGTTAGCGTTAGCATTCTATTTCAGTATAGAGCAATTATTCATGTATCTCGTGCTGTGTGCTCCTCATTCCTCCTGTACCTGCCGATGCAACACTGACATTTCCCCGCAGTGGGACCAACACAGCGTCTCTTCATCCTAATCTTATTCAGATTATTGATGCCTAAATACCTGTTGTTTTTCCTTTTAAACCCTGTCTGCACCTTGAGCCAAAGCCATCTCTTCTGCTAATGTCAGTTGTGCTTTGTCCCTGATCAAAAATAAATGAATACATAAATATATAAAGCCAATATCCGTAGTTTGTGTCTTAATATTACTTACAACCGGCAATAAAAACAATTCTCATTCTGGCTCAAATCTCTCCATACTCTCTACATCTGCGTTTGTGAAGCAGGAGGGTCTGAGGACAGAGGTGAGGATCCAGGACACTCCACTTTCAAACACATTTATCAACATTTACAAACATTGGTCTCTGCCCCTCATGGACCAATGCCTCTGTGTGTTTTCCATCACTTCATTTCTTGAGTTTGAACTGTTTGATTTTCTGATCTGTGTCGGCGAATCCACAACTTGTGTAAAGTCCTGCGAGAAAACTACAGCTGTGATTTAGAGCTAAACACAAGAATAAATCGATTTGAATGGATTTAAATAGAACTTTCCCGTCATCTCTGCTCTCTCTGTGTCTGTGCCATACGACAGATTAGAAAAACAGTAGTAGTAGAAGTATGAGGCTGGCTGTATTTCTTGTAGTGCGACCTGAGCTGCATACTGATGTCTGAAGAGCAGATATTTTCTGAGCTGAAAGAAGGTGTTGAGGGAAAACACAATGCAGGCCGTGTCTGTGTGTTGCTCTGCACATGTTTCTCAGTGTGGAAGAAGAGAAGGAGACATGAGAAGCAGAAGTAGATCTTACCCTCCAGCCGCAGCGAGGCCATCCTTTGAAACTCGGGCTCCTGCAGCCAGCGGGACATCCTCTTGAAGGTCTCGCGGCCCGACTTGAGCTTGCCCCAGGGCTTGGGGTTCCTCAGGAGGTCGGAGAGAGTTCCCTGAGACCGGCACAGAACCCTCTCGGCGAAGATGGCCTGGGGGATGCTGTAGCGCTTCAGCTCCGTGATGATCCTCTGGGCCACGTCTCGGGTGTTGATCTCCTCTCCTCCTCCTCCTCCGTTGACTCCCGCGCCTCCCTGCGACCCGGACAGCATGCCCTCACCCGGGCTGGTAGCCGGGTGCTCCATCTTGGCCGTGGACTGCTGGCTGGCCGGGTGGTGGTGGGGCTGGTAGTGCTGGCTGTACAGGTGCGCGTGGTGGTGGGTCGCCGGGTGCTGGTGTGCGTCCATCTTGTTGAGCTGATGCGAGGCCTCCGCCAGCCCCGGAGGAGACATCTCTCGGGCGAAATCGGACGTCCGGCAGAAGATGTTGCCCCCGTGGACGTCGTAGCCTCCGTGGATCATCTGGTTGGTGTTGGAGGCGTTGCCCAGGGCGCCGTACCCGTGCATGGAGGTGGCAGCAGAAGGAGGCGAGAGGCTCTGAGACATGGCCAGATCTTTGCCGTAGGGGTTGTAGAAGTTCCCCCCCAGGCCCCGGTCCTCCCGCATCAGGGTGAAGCTGCCGATGACGTTGCTCACGGGCAGACACGGGTGGTGGTGGTGGTGGTGGAACTTGTCGTCAAATGGCTGCAGGGGCGTCAGCGTGGTGTAGGTGGTCCCGGCGCTGGAGGGGGAGTCCCCGCTGTAACCCAGGGCCGACATGGAGTGGTCGAAGGTCGGGGGTCGGTGTTCGGGCTCCAGGGACATGGTGGGGCCCCCTAGGGAAGGTCTGGGGAACGCGGCCGCTGACAGATCCCGGGAGTGGAGCATGGAGCGGCCGTCCTGACCGTGCAGCTCCGGGTGGCTGTGCAAGGACATCTCCCCGAGCGCGTCCATGGTTCTCTCTCCAAAAACAAAACGAGAAAAAAGCGAAAAAAGAACCGAATGTGGGAATGGGAGCCCTCTTGTCTTGTTATTGTTGTCGAGCCTCCACGCTAACAGTCTGGAAGCTCTCTTGTTACACCAGACTATGGATTTATTGATTGGTGAATTAATTGATTTCCGCGCTTATGGGGTGTCTAATTAATTATCTGATAACGTTAAGTACTGTCTTCAAACTCCTCCAAACTCTGGCTATAAACTGGAACCACTCGGGGAAATGTCGCGATGTTGTGTGTCTTTGGTCTTCTTTATTCTTGTGCTGTTTTTTATTGTGTCTTTCTTTGGTCCTCCGCTCGCCTCTTTTGTGCCTGCGCGTACACACAACACACACACGTACACAACCAGCGTTAGTCAATCCTTTTGGCTTTTTGTGCAACTTCAACGCTTCTCTCACAAACAATTACACGACATTTTACGCGGATACACACGTAACCGCAGACGTAAACAGAAAGAGATTTTTACGTAGCTTTTTTTATTTTTTTGCGTACAGACAGACTCGCAGTCCTGCCCGGGATGCGAGATGTATCCATGCAAAGTTACGAAGCATCCTTTACGCTTTCCTCTCTACGTTCAAAACACAACCCAGAATCCTCTCCCCAAAATACGCGTATAATCGTAGTATTTGTCGTTAAAAAAATGGCTGGTCGAAACCGTGCGTTTACATTTATATATTTACGTAATCTTACCTTTATTCCCCCCTTCTCAGAGCGCGTCCTCGGCTGTTGTGTGCCCTGTGCATCTCTTCGATTGTGTCCGCGCCTCAGATCCACACAATTGGTCCAAGCAGCGCCCCGGGGTGATGCATTCAAGCCGAGCCCAGAGCGACAGAGCAGGCGCACGCTTACCAAAAAAAAGAAAAACCTCCGTAGCCAACACGGGAGCACACGCTGGAAGAATATATGAAAAAGATCCGTGTATAATCAGACTTAGTCCAGGTCTCGGCTGTGGCTCGGTTCCGGTGTTTTACGCAGTATCTACAGTAAATAGTAACGAGCGACGACGTTTTTTTTGTGGGGCTCTTACACTAGCAGCTCCCAGCTCTTTCTTTCATTATCTTGTGTGATTTTCCTCCTCCTCCTCCTCTCTCCCTCTGCCTGCCACTTCATCGATCCACGCACCAACTCTTTCTGCTCCCTCCCCCCTCTCCTCTCCCCCCTGGCTCCCCCTCCACTCGCTCACATCGACTCTCCGCTTTCAGTGCGTCACGGCCTTAAAAATCTGACAGATGTGCAATGAAATTCCTACTCCAATTAACCCTTTCTCTCCGGTGGGAGGGATTGGGGAGTTCAGTCGGGGGGGAGTGGGTGGATGCGGATGCGGAGGGGGGGCCCGGATTTGTTGGAGGTTGGAGATCCACCCTTTCTCATAACCCCACAGGTTAAGCCATTGCTTCAGCTGATTGCATGCATGGAGCTATGAGATATGTGTGCTTGCGGCCCGTGGTTGTGCTGCGCTCGGCTCTTTGGACCAGAGTCTGTGATCAATGGCATTTTTTGTTCTTCCTTTATGTAACTGCTATAGGTGATCCATCCCCCGCTTTCACTCCACTTATTAGTCCGCTATCATTTAACATTGTCCAGGAAAGAAGTGATTTATATTACGCCTTAACCAGGACAATACTACGCACGTATATATAGAGAGAGATGGTGATGGATAGATAGCGCAGGGGATGTGTCCAAAAGTCTCCAATCTTTACGCACGGCATTTTACGCACAAAGCACACGGACAAAAACAAATATCTTTCTATAATTTAGTCATCAGGAATTAAAATAAAGACGTGTGTGGCTCAGTCAAGCACCAGGGACATTTGCCAGAAACAGTCACATTCAAAGTTAATTATCATGAAACTATAGCGTTGTGTTTGTTTATTATTTGCTTATATACAGGCTTATTCTCTGACAAAGTTGAAATCCAGGTTAAAAAACAACAAACGTATTGTAAATTAACTCTATTTTTATACACTGTGGTTATGTATTATGTTAATGCCTTTTAATGTGATTTTAATATTTCGTTGTTTCGTTTAGTTTTGTTTTCGCCTATACGTGTAGACTGTGCCACACAATTAAACTCGCCGCGCCTTGACTATTTTCCCCATTTCATTTCTGAATATTTATGCCTCTGTTGCCAATATGTTCACACGATCAGGAAGTAAACGGGGACTAATTATACATAATAAATCCATATGAATCAATGGAAAGTGTGTCAGGGCAATTGATTATTTGTATAGGCTGATTGTGGGGTGCGAGCCTGGTCACGTGGCCCTTTGGATTTTTTTTCTCCACAGACTAGAGATGATTAAAGAATGAACAATATTATACCTCAGACATATTACAGTATATACGTGTTTGGTTGTTGTGGTGTGAGTGCGTAATGGCCACCAGCAAGAAGAGGGATAGTTCCCGGTTTAGTGAAGGTTAAAACAATAGAAGTGAAATTGTCAGCATTCTCTTTTCTCCAAAAATATAAAAATATGATCTATTTATGTACATATAAATACATTTATAAGTGCAGTAAATATATATGTGTGTAGTATATGTGTTTGGAACAACCTCTTAATCACCACTCACGGTCCTCTCTCCACAATCCCGATCAATGTGACCCTCTCCTCGGCGAGACCCCGCGACCCGCCGGGAGCGCGCACGGTGCACGAGCATTGATTGAGTTCATATCGCAGAGGGATTAGGTCAGAGCGCCGACGCGGTTCCAAAGTGTGTAATGGCGGGGTCAGGTTTTTTGGAGAGGTTTTACGCACGAGGGCTTACGTATGGGATGGGATGTACGTCTGCGGCGTAAATAATAATAATAATAACAGTAATAATTATAATCCCTGATACATAGGCTTCGAACACAGACACCCACTTCACTATTGTCTCTTTGTTATTATCAAAGTAGCAACGTCATTTTTGTATGTTTTTTTTTACGTCATTACCATAAAATATTATTGTTTAAAATACGTTATGTAGAGTTTAACGTGCTGTGATAATTTATTCATATTTCTGTATTTAAACGCCTTGTTTCTATCTTGTTTTGTTACGTTGTCTTGCATATAGAACTGTGCTAGCCTAAATAACAATAATAATAATAATAATAATAATAATAATAATTTTACATTAGAACAAAGACCACCACTTCAACATGTGTTATTTATGATCACATTCTCAGATCACGTTTGCCCATGAATTCTAATTGACGTCATTACCATAGATCAGACCATGGGCAAAGTGCGGCCTGGGTGCCACACGAGGCCTGCTTTACGTGTCCACGTGGCCCCCGGAGCCTCGTGATTCCATGGCCTGTTATACTTGTATTTTGTTGACACTTAAAATGTCCTTGGTAATAATTATTTACTCTAAACAAATTGTCCACAGAGAAAACACAACACATATTTACGTGGGTTTAATAATAACAAAGAAAATATTTGTAACATTTTAAGTCATTTTTTGGCTAAATATAATTAAGATTGAAACACATGAAATTGCGTCTGGCTTTTTACAATATAGGGCCATATCTCACTTAGAAATTATTATATATATAAAAACACACAAGATACAGACTTTAATGTGAGTATTTTATATGTATTGTTTTGTGTGATTGCGTCTGTCTTGTTTTGCGCTTTGAGTCGCCTTGTGTGTGAACAGTGCTATACAAATAACCTTGCCTTGTCTTGAACTGGGGCTGCAGACTTCACAGACGCACAAGTGTGTGACATTCAAGGCCTCTGCACAGTCACATACACACCATTTTATGCATGTGCTTGTCTGGCGCACACTGGGGACTTTTGCAAATATCATTCCAATGTGGTTTTACTGCAAATGGCAAATACAGTAAATGAATCAGCCCAGGTTTGTACTTTCATGATTCAAACCGATTTTCTACACATGGGAACGAAGGCAAGAAGACAGGAAGACATGGAGGATTTTATGTTTTTTATTGCAGCCTTTTACATTAAATAACAATATCACACTTTGACATTGGGTCTTGTGTATTCGTGTCACAGTCGGGGGGATTTGTCAGTGTTGCAGCGCAGGTTTCAGGACAGTATGAGGAGCTACAACACAAGGGAAGTGAAATTAAAGCAGAATCTACACCACTTTTATGGCAGTTTATCGGCATTTATGGACATTGGAACCTGCTCCTTATGGATTAATAACTATGTGTTTTTTAATCATTGCATTTTCCGTGTTTGAACTGCTTGATTCTCTGATCTGCTGTTGGCGAATCGACAGTTTACTGAAGTCCTCTGATAACTGCTGTTGTGATTTAGGGCTATGCAAAAATAAAATTGAAATTAAAACAATCTCTAGCTTATTACACAGACCCAGTATGTAGTACACATACACCTGTACTTGCATATATACATAGGTACAAGGATACTGAATGACTACTGTTGAATTCTCTGCGAAACCAAAAGAAAGAAAAATAAGCCATACTTTATTGATCTCACAATGGATACATTTACAGAAAAAACGTATACAAACAAAAACAGAAAAGTTAATTTCTTCGGTCATTATATCACATATTTTTAAAGGTCTTTCACATTTTACAATAAGAAAAAACAGAAATAAATCGTGTGTATTGAGATTTTTTGTGGTAAAAAATGCCCACGCAGCAGTGTGGACTTTAACACAGGATCTGCAGACAGAGAGACCAGAGACATGTCAGAGATATGTCAGAGAGAATATGTTAAAGAATATGTCAGAGATATGTTAGAGAGAATACATGCACAGTCAGAGGCAGACCGAGGCAGACCGAGCAGGACAGACCGAGACATACAAGACCGAGGTAGACCAGGACAGAGCAGGGCAGACCCGAGGCAGACCAGAGCCAACCAGGACAGCGCAGAGCATACTAATTACAGGAGTCTGTCACTTTAATTTTCAGAGATGAGCAGTTTCTGGTTTGCAGAGCGCGGAGTGTAGAGCACCGTGTGGGACCGCAGCTTCCCGGAGCAGATGTGCCCTATCGATCCACGTGCAGCGCCAGGGATGTGCGTGTGCGTGCGGGTCTGTGTGTGTGTGTGTGTGTGTGTGTGTGTGTGTGTGTGTGTGTGTGCGTGTGTGTGTGTGTGTGTGCGCGCGTGGCTGTGTGTGTGTGCGTGCGTGCGTGTGTGCGCGCCTCTGTGGCCATGGAGCTGCAGGGCGGAATGGTCAACGGCTTCGCTCGGACAAAATCATCATAAAAAGAAGGGCTTGGTTAAAAAGGTCGAGGTGAAAGTTCAACAATGTGTGAGATTGGAGATGGAGAGACCAGGGGAGGCTTAGACCAGGAGAGGCTGAGACCAGGGGAGGCTGAGACCAGGAGAGACTGAGACAGGAAAGGCTGAGACCAGGGGAGGCTGAGACCAGGAGAGGCTGAGACCAGGAGAGACTGAGACTAGGAGAGGCTGAGACCAGAGGAGGCTGAGACCAGGGGAAACTGAGACCAGGAGAGACTGAGACCAGGAGAGGCTGAGACCAGGGGAAACTGAGACCAGGAGAGACTGAGACCAGGGGGGGAAGAGACCAGGGGAGGCTGAGACCGAGGAGGCCCGGGACTGTGGTCCTCTGAGGCCGGGTCTGTGGTCCTCTGACACCGGGTCTGTGGTCATCTGAGGCCGGGTCTGTGGTCCTCTGAGGCCGGGTCTGTGGTCCTCTGACGCCGGGTGTCTGTGGTCCTCTGAGGCCGGGTCTGTGGTCCTCTCAGGCCGGGTGTCTGTGGCCCTCTGAGGCCGGGTCTGTGGTCCTCTGACGCCGGGTGTCTGTGGTCCTCTGAGGCCGGGTCTGTGGTCCTCTGACGCCGGGTGTCTGTGGTCCTCTGAGGCCGGGTCTGTAGTCCTCTGACGCCGGGTGTCTGTGGTCCTCTGAGGCCGGGTCTGTGGTCCTCTGACGCCGGGTGTCTGTGGTCCTCTGAGGCCGGGTCTGTGGTCCTCTCAGGCCGGGTCTGTGGTCCTCTCAGGCCGGGTCTGCGGTCGTCTGAGGCCGGGTGTCTGTGGTCCTCTGAGGCCGGGTCGGTGCTCCTCTGAGGCTGGGTCTGTGGTCCTCGGACGCTGGGTGTCTGTGGTCCTCTGACGCCGGGTTTGTGCTCCTCTCAGGCCGGGTCTGTGGTCCTCTGACTCCAGGTGTGTGGTCCTCTCAGGCCGGGTTTGAGATGCTCTGAGGCAACAGGAGAGGGACTGCTCCTCGGCTGCAGCCTGCACTCCTGGCCCTGACTCTGGCACTGTCCATCACAAAATATGCTTTTCTGAATCACAAACACCCAAACATCTCCAGGGATGAATACATTACCCTCAGACTTTTGCAGTGGATTAGAATAAGTTTCAGGAGAAAATACATTTGATAAATTTGACCAAGACAAAATATGTGTATTAATTAAACCTCTGAGCCTGATGCTGCAAACGCAATCACTACAAATATGACACAACACACAGATGCATGTGTTTGATTAGATTATTTATTTACAATTCTGTGCATATATCAATAATACAGGCTAATAACAAGTACATGGTTCAACAAGGAGTATGTTTATTTGCCTCCAACACTTGTCACATACAGTACACACAAACACACACGCACACACACACACACTCGTACACACACAGAGAGAGAGAGACACACACACACACACGTACACACACACACAGAAAGACACACACTCGTACACACACACACACACCGGAAAAAACGACCGCATGGGTCGATTGTAGAGTCCCTGAAAA